GTTTGCATTTATAGGCAAACCTACCTCATTCATGATCAGTGGCATAGCAAGGTCAGGTGGTACCCGGTGCAAAAAAATTCTTGTCCCCCCCCCCCCATTGAAATCTAGTTGGACTCCCAAGAGACTGCAATCTACTCACAGTATAAAAAGACTGGCTGTGATCTACACATTGTCATTGCCAGGCGCTGTTGAGTTTTTTTAAGGGAAGGACTGACCAAAGTTGTTGAGCTTTTTGGGGGGTTGCAGGGTTTGGGTCCTGAGTTGAGGGAGCTTCTCTCCTTCTCTCCACCCTCTGCTTGTTTGCTCAACTAACTGCCACCTTCCCATCCTCTCCCTGCATGCCTTCTCCAGCAGCCCAGGGGCGAGGGGCTGTCAAAACGAAGGGGGGAAGGCCTCCAGCAAAGCGGAGCAGCTCCCCCCATCCCCCAACGATTCGGGGTAGGCAGGAGTCGTGAGCAGGGAGGGCACCAAATGTCACCCCCCCCCTCAGAGATGACACCTGGGGCGGTCCGCACCCACCTTGCTCCACCCCTGTTCATGATTTCTAAAACAACACATGATCTGAAACTCAGCCAGCCTTTGATATTCACACTTTTTTTGAGTTTTGCAATGCAATTCTCCAGCTGAGCAATGTGTACAAGCATGCACATAATAGCTTGACCATCGTTGTCTGTGCATTGACAATGTCATGGCTGGATTACTCCAATGTGTTGCATGTGGGGCTACCCTTGGAGGTGATCTGGAAGCTGCAGCTGGTGCAGAACACGACGGCGATGCTGCTTTTGAAGGCTCATTACTGCCAACATACAGCACCTTGATTGCGGGATTTGCTCTGGCTGCCAATTTTCTTCCAGGCCAAGTTCAAGGTGTTGGTGCTAACATCTATGTCACTATGCAGCTTGGGACCAGCAGAATTACAGTAGTTTAGATGAGAAGTAGCTGGATAATCTTTGGCACTGGATATAGAGGGGAAAGTTTGTGTGCTTCGAGAAATATGTCACTAACAAAACTGGGTGACTAATTGGATATGAGAAGAGAAGGACAAGTAATTTCTAAAAAGTTGTTCTAATTTACTAGGTAATTTTAATCACTCGCTTATTTCAGTGATTTGCCAAAAAAGTGACAGTGTTAAAGAAATTTTCTATGAAGATCTGCCTGCCAGATGCTTCCTTGCATTTCTTAAGTAGTTACAGATAATTCTTCAGAAATAACCACTTTGCAGAGGGTACTATTAAAGATTTTTGTATAAATTACCCAAACTCTAGATGTGTTTAATTCTTTCTATACAGTTTGGATTACTTTTCAGAAGTATTACTAAGTCAAACGTTACAGGGCAATTTCCTTGGCAAAACAGATATCTTTTGAGAATGAAAGCAAAATGCAATTTCAGTGTTGTCTTTCATTATGGATTTAGAACACAAAACCTTTCATTAGAGCTGTATTATTTATAGAGAAAATATTCAACAGTTATAAGAGGCTGCATGAGTTGTCCAATTGATTAATATGAAGACCTCTTATATACTGGAAGTTGGTTGGGTGAGTACATAATCTTGCTGAGTTAAATTACTTTATCAGCCCTACATTTCAGGCAAACATTTGCTTTGAAATGCTATAATGCGAAAGTCATTTCAGTCACAGAACAAAATATTTTCTGGGTTTAAGACTTCCTATTTCTCTCCCCCCCCCCCATGTTACAATCTAATGTATTTTAGGGAATGTATTTGGGGGAGGGGTTAATAAATATACAAGCATGGTTGTACTGTTTGTGCTTCTCTGTGGCAAATGAAGGAAGAGACATAGGAAAAGATAGTCCTTCATATGTGTAATCAATTCCAAGAGGATAAATTGGTGCCTACTCAGAACATCCCACATATGCCCTTGCAACACTTTTATCTTTTGCAAACACACCCTGTGTTTTATTGACAGCGATTACCTAACAAACAGTGTGCTTGCGACATGCACCATGGCAGAAATAAAAGCAGACAGTATAAAAGAAGTATAAAGGAAGATGTCAGGGCAATAAACCAGAGGCTATCTACAGGATGGTAACAATATAATAACTATCATTACAGCAATTACGTCTCATTGTGGTTGTCTTTATCTAAAGTGCAGCTCACAACTGCTCTCTCAATGTAGCTCGGTTTTGTCCATAGCAAGAGCACGCCTGAAAATGTTTTGTCACAATCTGAATTGGCCTTGAGAAATGTGGCTAAGAATGAATCAGGTCCTAGTTCTTCATCTGACAACAATGTACGACAATTACGATAAGTGCCCCTGACATAATTGGCAGAACACTGCTTCCTCCATTTGCTCACTAGCAATTCTTGGTGACTAAGAATTTTCTGTCCAGTTCTGTTTCTAAATCGTTGCTCTCTGGGTAACCATCAGGAGTGGATGGGCCATCTGGGACCCTCTACGTGTTGTTAGACTCCAGTTCCAATCAACTGCAGCCAGTATGGCCAATGATCAGGGAAGATGGGAGTTGAACTTTAGCAGCATGTGAAAGAGGCAGGTTCCCTGTTGTAGGGGATATTGACATATTACCAGCCCCAATTAAGTTTTTCAGATCTTTGAGGGGAAGGGGAAGTAGTGGCAATAGAGACAGTGACAGAAGCTTCAAATTCCCTGGAACATTTTGCAAGTATTCACACTGAGAATGCTCAAAACTTCAACCTTTTGTAATCATGTGCATGAAACCCCCTTCAGGGTGAACCCAAGGATGCTCATGCATCCCTAGTTTTTAAGTCAAAATGAATCTTGTACAGTGGTACCTCGGGTTAAGAACTTAATTTGTTCCAGAGGTCTGTTCTTAACCTGAAGCACCACTTTAGCTAATGGGGCCTCCTGCTGCTGCCGCGCCGCCGGAGCACGATTTCTGTTCTCATCCTGAAGCAAAGTTCTTAACCCGAGGTAATATTTCTGGGTTTGCAGAGTCTGTAACCTGAAGCGTATGTGTCAGGGGTTCAGGAGCAGAGGCACAGGAAAGGGAGGAAATAGAGAGCGAGGGGGAGGAGTCCGAAGGAAATGTTAGCGATGACAGCGGTCCGAGGTCTCTGAGTCTTTCCAGCGAATCGGAAGATTCACAGAAAGGGGCTCCCTTGGTCAGAGCAAGGGGGTGCCGAGGGGACACCCCAGGAAGAAGGGGCCAGAGGGGACTCAGAGAGCAGCAGTTGGAAATCAGGACCAGCGTCCACACCAGAGTGCAGTAGGGGGGGAGGAGTCCCAGGCATCGGGATCAGGCGGCGCACTGCCAGTGGGAGGACATGAGTCAGGATTGGCCACGCCTCCATCGGGGAGCGAGGAAACGGTCGAGAGGAAGGTTGAAGGCTGGGCGCGCGCGCAAGTTCAAATGTACAGGAGGGCGGCGCAGTTGGCAGCTCGGATAGGGAGCCAGGTCCCAAAGCCCGCCGAAAAGAGGGGAGGAGTCAGGGGGTCAACGTCAGCGTCAGAAGAATCCAGGCAGGAAGGGACCCCGGGGGGTAGCAGGACCCAGAGGAGAAAGGAGAGACGTAAGAGGTGGAGTAAGGCTAGAATCTTAAACTGGTGTACAGGGGCGGAGACTCAGATGGAGCTTCGCCGATCTAACCCCTAGACGTAGAGCTGGGGCGCTGCGGCTTGAAAATGGAAACTGTACTTCAATAAAGACTTTTGTACATTACTGCCGGCTAGCGTTGGTCCTCTGTGAGCTGGGACCTGGAGCCAGCTCTGACAGTAAGCTCCATCTCTAAAAGTTTTGCACCAAAAACCTCGTAACGTGAGTGGACGCAGCGAGGGGAGAAGATTGGTGCTTCGCGAGCTCACAAAAGTCAGGCAAGATGACTACAGAACAGCAACTAGCAGCCCTGCAAAATGCAGTGACACAACTCAACGCGGAGGTACTCGCATCCAGGAAAAGGGAAGAGGAAGCGGCTGCCGCCTGCAGGGATCTCCAAGCCAGGTTGGAAGTGCTTGCTAAGCAGGGGCAACCGGGACCCAAATCAGAGGGGATTGGGCTGGGGAAAAGAGGAGGCAGCCTGGTATCTCATTTCGATGGGAATTTGCAGCAGTACCCTAACTTCCGAGCAGACGTGCTGTTTGCGCTGGAACTGCTGGATAAAGACTTTAGAGATGAGCAAGAGAAGGTGGGGTTTATCTTGTCCCATTTGCATGGGGAAGCTAAAGCGTGGCTGCGCAATCTGTGGAGAGATAAGGATCCGGCGCTCCAAAATGCGGATGCATTCATTAAAGCGATGGATTCGTGTTTTTATCAAATATAGACATTGATATCGCCAGAAAAGACATACATGGGCTCAAACAAGGCAGAGCCAGTGTAAGGCAGTACCATTCCCGCTTTTTGCATTAGTCCATGCGCTGGGATGGGAGAAGGATTCTGCCCCAGCCAGAGACCTTTTTGGGAAGGCTTGAATGCAAATGTGAAAGATGAGATTGCAAGGGGGGAGAGACCAAAGAGCACTCAGGAGGTTGTCCGGCGGGCGCTGCAAATTGGGGTGCGTCTGGAAGAACGTCCATGGAACAGAGAAGAAGGACGTTGGGGACGTACGCCAGTGAGAGCACCTTCCCTCTTTCCCAAGGATGCAGCGCGTGTGCAATCCCCACCTCCGCAAGGAGGGGAGAGCAACCGATGGAGATTGGAGGCGCCAGGGCTCAGTCAGCAACCAGAGCCCTAACACCGGGAGCAGTCAAAGCGAAGCCTCCTAGAGGGAACAGGAAGTGCTACATCTGCGACAGTGCTCAGCACATGGCGAAAGAGTGTCCCCAGAGGCTCCACAAGCACACTGCAGCCTCAGCAACAGTAACAGACGCAACTCAGCACAGAGAACCACAGCAGGGAAACGACAGAGTCTGGTTGGAGGAAGAGGCACTGGGGCCCAGCCAGACAAGTCAATGAAGCCGTCCCCAGAGATTTTGCAGCCCACAGACCCCCTCCCGCCCAAACCAGTGGTGCAGCTCACAGCATCGCTCCAACTACCCAATGGACTCACTATGGAAGTGCCGATTACCATTGACTCTGGTAGTAACGCAGACTTCATAGGACTGGATTTCATTCAAGAGCACAACATAGCACTCCTGCCAGCCACGCTGCCTCTGAAAGTTGTCACGGTGGATGGCAGGGAATTGCTGGGGGGGCAGGTGGTGCAGCAAACGCCTCCGATGGTGATGCAAATTGGGAATCACCGAGAAGTCATCAGCTTCAATGTCACCCAACTGTCGGACACGCCTATAGTATTAGGCATGAGTTGGCTGCACAGGCACAGCCCAGCATTGGCGTGGTACCAGCGACAACTGACCTTCGGCTCCTCATACTGTGCGGAACATTGCATTCTGCCTAGCCCGGAAGGGGAAGAGGATGACCCGCAGCTACAATTAGGCACGCTGCAAGCAGTGCCACTCAAGTACGCAGCGTTTTGGAGGTTTTCTGCGAGAAGGAAGCGGACAAGCTACCTCCCACAGGTCCTATGACTGCAAGATTGACCTCCTGCCAGGGCGACGCTGCCAACCGGGAAACTGTATTCCATGTCTGAAGACGAGCTGCAGGAACTCAGGGGTTCATAGACCTCAACTTGAAGCGCGGTTTCATCCAGGAGTCGAAGGCAGTGGGGGCAGTCCTGTATTCTTTGTGAAGAAGAAGGACACGCCCCAAAAAAGGCTTGTGGTGGACTATAGAATTTTGAACTCGAAAACCAAGCCCACAGCCTTTCCCATGCCCAAGATAGATGACCTGCTCGCAACGGTGAGGAAAGGACGCGTTTTCACAAAGTTGGATCTGCGAGGGGCGTACAACCTGATTCGCATACGGGAGGGCGACGAATGGAAGACTGCCATGTTCACGCCCCTGGGCACCTATGAATACAGAGTTATGCCCTTTGGATTACAAAATGGCTCCCACTGTTTTCAAGCCTTCATGCATCACGTATTGGCGGGTCTCCTCTACAAGAAATGCGTCTGCTTCCTGGACGACATCCTGATATTTTCAGAATCAGAGGAGACCCACGAGGGAGACGTCAAGGAAGTTCTGCAGAGACTGCAGGAGCACAGGCTGTACGCCAAGCTGGAGAAGTGCCAGTTCGACATGAAGGAGGTAGATTTCCTGGGCTACAAGTTGTCGGACAAGGGGCTCGCCATGGACAGCGCCAAGGTTCGCTCAGTGTTGGACTGGAAGAGCCCGCGCAATCGGAAGGAGGTCCAGCGGTTTGTCGGTTTCGCCAACTTTTACCGCAAGTTCATCAAGGGGTTCGCGATGCAGACGGCGGCCATTACCGACACGCTCAGCTCCAAGAAGAAGAAGTTCATCTGGACGGAGCAAGCGGAGCAGTCCTTTCAGAAACTCAAGCGTCTCTTCTCGTCCGAAGAGCAGCTACTGCATGTGAATCCCAGCAGACCGATGAGGGTTGAAACGGACGCCTCAGACAGAGCCGTGGGAGCAGTACTGTTGCAGCAAGACCCGCATGGGGACTGGAGACCGTGTGCCTTCTACTCCAGGAAGCTCAGCAAGTCAGAGCAGAACTACACCATCTGGGACAGGGAGTTGCTGGCCATTCATGCAGCATTCAAGGCGTGGCGGCACTTCCTCATTGGAGCCAAACACACAGTGCAGGTCCGCACGGACCATAAAAACCTGGAGTACTGGCGCACGGCAAGGTTCCTGAACCAGAGGCACATACGATGGGCGGAGTTCTTTGCGGATTTCGACTTCAGGATAGAGTACATCCCAGGCGACAACAACATCATGGCGGATGCACTGTCCAGAAAGCCGCAATACCTCGAGGAGGCGGCACCAGCAGCGGCCAAGCACATTTTCGCACCGAAAGCGTGGGCGTGCGCTTCAGCAACCGTGGACCTGGATGCTGTACGTCGAGCACTGCAGGAGGACCCCTTCGCGCAAGCAAAGATGGCAGAGGTGCAAAGGGGCACGGCGGAGGACGACGAGTTCCAGATACGCGACGGATTGCTCATCCGCAGAGGGGCCCTCTACGTACCGGGAGACGACCTCCGCGCGAAAGTACTGCAGCAGTTGCACGACGCACCCACCGCCGGGCACTTTGGCAAAGAGAAGACGGTAGAATTAGTAGCCAGAGATTTTTGGTGGCCCAAGATGCGGGGGAAGTCGCGGATTACGTCTCGAGGTGCGACACCTGCCAAAGGGCCAAGTCAGTGCACAAACCGCCGGCGGGACTGCTCGAACCGCTGCAGACACCGCTCGAACCGTGGGAGAGGGTGGCCCTGGACTTTGTCACGGATCTACCCAGCTCGAGGGGCAAGACGGCAGTGCTAGTGGTGGTGGACATGTTCACCAAAATGGCCCACTTCATTCCGTGCGCGAAGGTGGCCACGGCGGAACAGACCGCCAAACTGTTCATAGACCACGTGTTCAGGGTTCACGGTCTGCCACGGTCTATCCTGTCCGACCGGGGGCGACAGTTCATCTCGAACTTCTGGCAGAAGCTGATGGGTTTCCTGAACGTCAAGATCAACCTAGCGTCGGCGAGACACCCGCAGACGAACGGACAAGCGGAGCGAGTCAACGCCATCATGCAGCAGTACCTGCGATGCTACGCAAATCAGCAGCCGGCAACATGGGTGGACTACCTGCCGCTCGCTGAGTTCGCCTACAACAACACGAAGCACGTGTCCACGGGGGTGACACCGTTCTTCGCCAACAACGGGAGGCATCCCAGAACCTTCCCGGGATTAGCGAGAGCGGGGAGGGGAGCCACAGGCAGCGGAAGCCTTAGCATCAGAGTTGCAGGAGGTTCACGAACAGCTTCGGAGGCAGTTAGAACTAGCAAAGCACGCATACAAACTGCAGGCTGACAAGCACAGAAGGGTTGGGGAAGACATACAGGTGGGAGACTGGGTTTGGTTAGCAGCCCAGGCAGTGCCGGCCAGATCGTTAGCGAAGAAGAAGCTAGGGCATAAGCAGCTAGGACCCTACCAAGTCGAGGCACAGGTCAATCCAGTGGCCTTCCGGTTGACACTGCCGGAGGGATCCAGAATGCACCCAGTTTTCCATAGATCAGTGCTCACGCCCTACAAAGCACCTCATAGATTTCAGGAGCCAGGAACGGCACCAGACCCGTTCAGGGAAACGCCCACAAGGGGGGGGTCGCCAAGGCGGGAACCCGTCAACGAAGTCACAGAGATTTTAGACTCGAGATGGGGGGAAGAGGGAGTAGAATATCTTCTCGCCAGAGAAGGTACCCCGGCCAGCGCCAACAGTTGGGTGCCAGACCATGCCTTGGACGAACCTTTTCTCAAGGACGAGTTTCATGCCCTTTTCCCACACAGGCCCATGCCAGCCGAGTATTTCGACGACTGGCTTTTCACACCCACATTTTCAGCTAGCACATTCCAGGGGTTCACCTCGGACGAGGAACCGGCACTAGAAACACGTTCCCCGGAGGGATCACCCTCGGGGTCTGCCTCAGACCGTTCCTATTGGTGGGACAATCAACCAGAGGAGCAGTGGCGCAGGAAGTGGCTGGGGGGTCCTTGGCAGGCAACGTCCCCGGAGGAGACCGGGGAGAGACGGACATGGACGTGTTGGGGAGGACCTTGGGTTCGAGCACGGCGGCAAAGAGATGGAAGCAGAGGAAATTGAGGTCGGCGAGAGCACGGAGGACGAGCCGGACTTATCCGGCTGGATGCACGCCACGGGGGACGAACTGTATCCGGCACTCACCCCCACAACGACGGAGCACCCAGTACCCACACCTGAAGGAGGGGAGGGGGAAGGGGGGCTTCGAGGGGGATGGATGTCAGGGGTTCAGGAGCAGAGGCACAGGAAAGGGAGGAAATAGAGAGCGAGGGGAGGAGTCCGAAGGAAATGTTAGCGATGACAGCGGTCCGAGGTCTCTGAGTCTTTCCAGCGAATCGGAAGATTCACAGAAAGGGGCTCCCTTGGTCAGAGCAAGGGGGTGCCGAGGGGACACCCCAGGAAGAAGGGGCCAGAGGGGACTCAGAGAGCAGCAGTTGGAAATCAGGACCAGCGTCCACACCAGAGTGCAGTAGGGGAGGAGTCCCAGGCATCGGGATCAGGCGGCGCACTGCCAGTGGGAGGACATGAGTCAGGATTGGCCACGCCTCCATCGGGGAGCGAGGAAACGGTCGAGAGGAAGGTTGAAGGCTGGGCGCGCGCGCCAAGTTCAAATGTACAGGAGGGCGGCGCAGTTGGCAGCCCGGATAGGGAGCCAGGTCCCAAAGCCCGCCGAAAAGAGGGGAGGAGTCAGGGGGTCAACGTCAGCGTCAGAAGAATCCAGGAAGGAAGGGACCCTGGGGGGTAGCAGGACCCAGAGGAGAAAGGAGAGACGTAAGAGTTGGAGTAAGGCTAGAATCTTAAACAGGTGTACAAGGTGAGGAGACTCAGATGGAGCTTCGCCGATCTAACCCCTAGACGTAGAGCTGGGGCGCTGCGGCTTGAAAATGGAAACTGTACTTCAATAAAGACTTTTGTACATTACTGCCGGCTAGCGTTGGTCCTCTGTGAGCTGGGACCTGGAGCCAGCTCTGACAGTATGTAACCTGAAGCACCTGTAACCCAAGGTACCACTGTAATGGGGAGTCAGAGTTCCTCCCAAAAAGTTCTTGAATGATCACCACCTTCTCAGAAGACTAGCTTACTTCTGATGGAGCATAATGGTTGCTGAAGATTTAAATTTTGAGAAGGAGATGGAATCATTCATCTCCTAAAGCTCTTTTCCATGCAGGAATCTCAATATTAGGGCTGTGGCCTTGAACTGTGCTCTGCATTTGATAAGGAAGCAGACAGCTGTCTACAGTCATAATCATAGCAATGATAAAAATTGTCTTATGTTAGAAACCAGTTTTTTTGCGTGTGTGTAACATCCTGAACAACCGCACAGTTAAGTCATCATACCCTTTGCAAGAAAAATTATAATAAAATAGCAGATGCATCACAACTTTTACTTAGTAAAGAGATATTGATTCAGTAAGCACAAGTTGTCATCTGTTGGCATCTTACAAATCTGCAAAATATGCAATGTTTTGGGTGGGGTATCAGCACCAAATCAAATACCGAATAGAAACAGGTATTTGGACCTCCTCCAAAGTGAAGTGGAACTTCTTCAAAGTGGTCCAAAGTGGCCTCATCCTGAAACTCTGCACCTGCTTCAGAGGTGGTTTTTAGTTTCAATGTGTGAGCACCCAGATTGAGATACGTTTTGAACTCCTCACAGGAAAACTCTCCTCCTTCCTAGGCAAGGGGAAGTGGTGAGACAATTTGGGACCAACAGCTCTAGTTTCCAACCAGAGAATGAATTTGTTAAGTTGTGGGTGAGCATATCAGATGACACAGTGATTCTTCAAACAGCTCTTGTTTATTCGCAGGCCAGAACTGAACTGAACTGTGAAGGATTCAGCCAGCCTGCTTATATAGAGCTCCACTACAACGCAACAGTAACCACTTTCCGTAACTATTCAATCACTGAACGTCACTTTCAATCCCTTATTTGCATATGTGGACCTGAGTGAAAACTATCTACAGTATCCCCCTGCTGGCCCAGGGTGAGAACTTCAGTACATAACAGAATTTACTAGGTATCTCCAGTCACAGTGCTTTGGGAGAAGAGACACTGAAGTTGAGAACTGAGAGACTTGTGTTTAGAAACCTTTAACTTTTGCACAAGGTAGGAGTTGCATCCATTTCTCTGCCTACTTTTGCCTCTGGTCCGCTACAAAGCAACCTTTCAACCTTGGGCTGAATAAGGTCCCCCACGCTGGTTTATGTTAGGTGTCAGTTATGGGTATTTCAACCTGACAAAATAATTCTGCACCTAGATGTGAACCCAATGGTTGTAATCTTATAAAAGTGTCTATGTGTGTGCATGCACACATGTACTTTCCCAGCAAATTGGGTAATTCATCTCTATGCCCTAAGCTAAGCTTATTCGTTCTGCACACCATGTCAATAGGAAAAATGATACCATATGGTTCCTTTCCAATCTGAACATCACCTGGACCAAGAGAGATTAATGCTAACATAAGAAGGAATGGTGTGATGTGGCTCAAATGACATTGGACTAGACCACAGGGAAGTAGTTTTCATGCTGCTTTAGTAATGTATTATTTACTCCTTGCGCTGTGTATAGTTGAGTAAAATCATTATACAAGTAAACATAGATAGGATTGGGCTGCTGGCTTCCCCAAATGTATTTTTAACCCCTTCTACATTAGATCAAACAGACTAATAAGCCTATACACTCCTAGGTTATTTATGGCTCAGGTGGAGTGTAGCCATTGAATAGATTTTTTTAAAATGTCTAATGTGGCAACAACTTTACTGTGAGCAAAGTAATGAATGCCATATCAGTATTCTGAATGAATGTGACTTACTTTGATTGGAAAGATGGAGAAACACTAAGTTGAATCCTGGTTTTCATCTTCCATGGAGCTAGAAGACTCCCACTTTCTTTTCTCCTTTTCTCCTAGAAGAAGAAGGAAAAAATAATAATTTTGAACATGCCTTCTGACTAGTTATGCAGAAGAGATGATGCATCTCGCTTAACTTGTCCCCAGTAGAAACACTCAATAAGGCTTACTTGTGCACAGACATGTACAGAATTGCACTGTAGCTTTTTAAACTTAGAAACCAAAAAGGTGACTCGCATCTTTCATTTAAATTATCCCATGTAATTAACGAAGATTATAACTTACAATTAAAATGCACATGTCAAAACACTGCAATCAGACTCCTAAAAATAGCTACCCAAAACGATTAAGGAATTCCAGCCACATTTTAGAAAATGGTTTCCTGAAGGATGACTTGAACAACTTTCTGAATTATATGAGTGAGATGATGAGGGAAGGTGTGTCATAAGAAAGGGGCCGCTACCAAGCAGGCTGTGGGCGTGGTAGTCATTAGCTGAATCTCAGGTGGCCATCTAAAACAAGAAGAAGCCCCAGAAGCTCTTAATCTGAGGGGGTACTTGCGATAATGAAAGCTAGTTGTGTCTCCATTCACCCTTCACAGTTCTTCTGGTTTGGTTCTGGCGGCACAATATGCACAATTGCCAATATCTGCCTGGTGAAACACTGGTGGAGAAGCCATGCCAAAAATTATTACTAAAAGTACAGAACAATGTGAGTGGTCTGCATGGAGCTGACTGCTTGCGAAATTGGTAGACACCTGGACTGGCAGTAGTTGGCATCTGTTGAACCATTTTATATAATGGCATATATCTCCCCACTTTTGGCAACAGTAACTTTTGGCAAGAAAATAGTTAGGTCATATAATGTTGCTTCCAAAGACTGTTTGGTACAACGTACATTGATACTTATTTTCTATCTGATATGCATGAAAATGGGATTTGCTTGACTTTCAGAGTTAAGCGCCTTATCCTCTTAGTGTTAAAAAGCAAAAGTTTCACTAAGTTCAAAGACCACATGCAGACTTTGTCATATAATTTTTCAATTTCTGTACTGCCTTAGCATTTTGATTAACTATCCTGTGTCACCTTCAGCTATTCCCCACCCCAAAAACAATGAGTTTATAGGATGTGTTGCACCTTGTAGTGCTACTTTGACGTTATACCTAATCAGCATCTATAATGCCATTCATTTCAGCTAATATATAGCAGTTCTTAGAAAAGATTTAATGTAGTGCCTACATTGGCTGTAATTGAAATGTCCAGGAAACTAATTTGGTGAAATGGAAAGGGATAGGAGCCAAATTCTGAATTCTTTCATTCTTTAGTACAATTTGTGCTTTATCTTCCCCCCTCCCTCTGTTTCAGTTATCATCAGTAACTAATAAGAACCTATCAACAAAATATCAATAATTTAATTTCTACTCATAATTTTTATGATGGATAAGAATGAAAGTTTTACGGCAAGCAAAAATGCAATTAATAGCAGAGGGTGTGCTGCCAACTTTTATTATGTAAATTAGAGGCACTACACAATTATTTAATGCTCCTGAGTGGGAAATGTTCTGTGCTGGAGAGAGAGAGAAAAACGGAGTTAATTCTGCCTTAACTAATAACTGTTGAGATTATGTGCAGTCTAATATATTTTTGGCTTGCACCAGATGTAGGAGGCTTGATAAAAACAGATTGGCCAAGAAATGGCTTCTCTGGGGATCTGTCATGAGAATCGAATCATGAGATGCTAATACATCTAAAAAGTCATAGTGAGGATGATAATTACAGCCCAACTTTCTGCATGAGCCTCCAACAGCTTTGCTTGGATAAGCACCTACAGGAAATATGTCATGGGTCCTTGAGGCATACTGGACCTCAAAAACTACTTTATCAGGGGTAATCAATGTGGTGCTCTTTCGATGTAGTTGGACTCTACCTCCCATCCATCATGGCCAATGATCAGAGATGATAGGAGTTGTAGTATGAAAACATCTGGAGGGCACCATTTGACTACCACTGCACCATATTGTTCATTCTCTTCCACCTGCCGACCCTAGGAGTCCTCATAAGGGAGCTGGTCCTGGAGGAAGAACTGTGAGGAGAGAGACTCCATCAGGCAAGGCCTCTTTCCACCTGCCTTGCTCTACCCTGTAGTCTCTGCTTCTCAATGTGTATTGTATTGTTTTACGTACTGTGGCTTGCCGTTGTTTTATTGATTATAGTTTAGATATTATTTATTGTAACAGTTGAGTGGATTTCTGTTTAACTTTTATATGTTGTTATTATTATTTTATACTATTCTAATGATTGTTGAATGTGACTTTTTTGATGTAGGATGCCTATTACGTTTTATTATCACATTTTTGTATTGCATTAGATTGTTATAAGATGTACATTTTTGTTTCTTCAGTTTCTAAACTGCCTTGAGTATTGTAAGATAGAAAGACGGTATACAAATTAAAAATGGTGATGATGATTGATTGTTGTTGTTGTTTTATTAAAACTTTTCAGTGTGCAATAAAAAACAGAAACAAAACAGTAAATTAAGAAATAAAGAAAATGATGGAAAAAGAAAATAAGGAAAGGGAAAAGAATAATAACAGAGCAAGGAGAGAGAAAGAAGCAAGCAAAAGTGACTTCCAACTATCCATCAGTTGTGCCTGCAGGAATTATAGCCCAATGTTCAATCCAGAATAGGATTCAGTTATTCCTCCCTCTGCTTATGTTTTCCCAACGTCCAATCTAGGCATCTCAGGCTCATTCCCTTTCCTTTCCATCCAAGAAATCAAAAAGAGGTTCTCCAATTATTATTATTATTAATCAAAATCAGCCATAATCTTCCTCCAGTCCAACTTCAAAACTTTGCCTCATTATCCAAACTGTAGGCGGTGGCCTGTCACTAACGTTCACCAGCAGGAGTCAGAACAGTATTAAGACATTTTGTCAGAGCTCTTTTTCAGCTGGAACTCACCAGAATTCAGTTCTGGCACCTCTCAGGTGGGTGCCAGTATAAGATAACAAGGAAGCATTCGTGGTCAGTTCCGGCACCTCTTTTTCTAGAAAAATAGCACTGCGTTTTGTGACTGTGGTGCAGCAGACACCCTAAATCAAGGTATCTAGAACTCAGGGCTGGTCAAGTTCCATTCCCCTTCCCTGCCAGTAAAAACAAAACAAATGTAATGACTAACAGTTTGCTGCTCTTCCATGAGACCCCAAATCAGCTGACTGAGGCAGCTGCCCCAACCTGTCTGATGGTTGGGGCAGGCCTGCTTGATATAGCCTCATCTTTCACATTCTTCAGATAATAAATTTCCAGTTTTAAACAAGCAACGCCCTGGTATCTGTAGTCTTGCCTTGGGATATGAAATGGGCCCAACACACACACACACACACCACAAACCAGCTAAATCTTTGCACTAAAAAGGTTTGTTTATGCAGTACCACCACTAATAGCAACATCTCTCCCCCAAATACATATTCTTATGTTTAATATTAAATATTTGCTCCTCAAATGACAATTGGATGGGGAGGGGCTCTACTTTTGCAGAACAGGTAGCTGAGTATCTTATTTGTCTTGTTGAGTAACTGAAATATCCATGCAGAATGTAGAAAAATCAAGATTTGTGGTTGGTTGCAGCTCAATGTTAAAATGTCATCATGAAATACTTTTTGCAGTTGAAGAAAATCGAAATAATGCTGCTCTCTTGTTGGTGTGTGTTTGTGTACTAAATGAGATAGAGAACTAGAGGTTGGAGAACTACCAATCAGCAGCCTTGATGAAACAAGGGGTGAAGCCTTGCGAGTTGCAAGCAAACAGTATGACAGATATTGTGACAGCAACTATATTTACAAGCCACTGATCTGAACATGAACATTTAAAATTGGGTGGGGGGTGGGGACCAACTCAACAGAGATAATTTCTCTTGGATTTGGAAGACTGCTCTGCACAGACTTGCATTCTGCCTAACATTTATTCCTGGGGAGTATTACCACGAGTGCAAAAGTGACACTTTGCTAATTAAAACAAAATGCTCTGTCCTCAGACAGAGAACTTTTTCTGAAACTCAGAGATTTATAAATAGTTACTCTTCAAACTGGTGCGGTGAAGTCACAAGAAAATGCAGGGTTTGGAACATCAGTGTAACAGTTTGACAGGGATATAACTTACAGCACAAACTGAACCGTGTCTATTCAGAGCTCCCATTGAATCCAAGGTCTGATAAAGCAGGATCCTTGACCATGTGGATTATATCCACATTCAGGTGAATGCAAGTATAAGTTGCATGCAGGCCTTTCCTGTACAACATGGAAAATCTGGGACTGATGGAAGGATGAGGATGTTGGGAGGTGGCTTTCATACACCTCTGTTTCCACCTCATGTGTAACATGAAGCACAATTGCGTGTCAAAGTCCCCAAGACACCCCAATAAAACACAATTCACATGGAATTTTTGTTTAAGGTTTTTGGCATAATTTTGGCCACAACTTTATTAAAATACAAAAAATGTGAGTGGTTGCTTAGGCATTGGTTGCGACTATCTGACCCCGCACGGGGACAGACTGACATTCACACGCCAGTGAAAGTCAGAAAGGGAAAGCATTTTGGGGAGAAAGATGGAGCTGGGTACCATGCTCTCACCTCTCCCCAAATGCTCCCAGGGGCTCTTGCGTGGCCCTAGCCCCTTGACAGGGGTTCGGACAAGAGCATGGTGAGGCCCTGGATTCCTTTAATGGAAAAACAGCATTGGAGGAGCAGGCACAGCCAATCCATGCCCCTCCACCAATCAATTCATAAAACCAATGCCTAACCGCAACCTTACAAGTTGTGACGATTTGCTACTATGCAGTAGGCGAAAACCAAATGGCACCAGCCAATCAGCCAAATGGACAAAATTCCTATCAGGCCCCTGCCCCAAAAGCAGACGACCCCATGACAGGCATAGCAAGGTCAATGGGAACAACCCTAAATATAGGGAAGGGTGGGCGGGTGATCCAATGTGCGCAGTGAAAAGAGGAAGCTCAACACTGTGCACAGGGAATATAAGACTTCTTGGCTGTCAGTCACAAAATGGCAACATCAAATTCTCCCCAATGACAAGGGGAGCCCAATCACAATGGTGGCCAGCTACCTTTACCCAACCAGCAACAGTGGGATGTCTTGTTAGACCCCACCGCAACACGTGCTCTCCATGAAGGAGAACACGCTAAACAAGATAGCATGTGAAAACCTGTGCTTTCACCCTTATGTGATTGACAGTATGTGTCTGTGGGCAAGGCACCACACAGCAGTAAACCATCCAGACTTTCACTGTGACAATGGGATGCATTTCACTGAAAAAGGCAAAGTTTCTCCCTGATTTTCTTTTTAAGATGTGGGAGCAAGTTTTGAGAAAGAAACTCAGCCAATATCTTGGTCCCGAGAGATACACAAGAAAAAGGAAAAGTTGTGAAGAAGAATAGAATAAACTTGAGAAGAATCGAAGAAGATGTCAATATGAAGCTAACACCAGGGAAACTGTAAGGCAGAAAGCAGAGAGGCATAAGCTCAGAGTCTAGGTTGCAAAAGCGACATTTCTGCTTTGGAGCACCAGGGAAATGGTTGTCAGAAATCACAGGAAACACAGAAAAGACATGATTGAAAAAATGAAGTTTCTTTGTTTCTGTTTATTTATTTTTACACTTGCAAAGTATTTTAAAAGTTGTACTTTGAATCACATATCAGAAAGGGGGGACGGGGTGTCAAACTAAGCATTCAACCACCACCCTTACCCAACCCAAAGATATAGTTCAGATCTAAATAATAATAATAATAATAATAATAATAATAATAATAATAATTTATTTATACCCCGCCCATCTGGCTGGGTTTCCCCAGCCACTCTGGGCGGCTTCCAACAGAATATTAAAATACAATAGTCTATTAAACATTAAAAGCTTCCTTAAACAGGGCTGCCTTCAGATGTCTTCTAAAAGTCTGGTAGTTGTTGTTCTATTTGACATCTGGTGGGAGGGAGTTCCACAGGGCGGGTGCCACTACCAAGAAGGCCCTCTGCCTGGATCCTGTAACTTGGCTTCTCGCAGTGAGGGAACTGCCAGAAGGCCCTCGGCGCTGGACCTCAGTGACCGGGCAGAACGATTCCTGAAGTAGAGAGGTGCTGAAAGTTGCTGGTGCCAGTGTAAAGGAAGACATTAACACAACCATAGTGTTGTGAGGTTGTGTTGGGGGGGGGGCTGGCTGTATGATGTCTAAGTCCCAATAAAATTTAATGGAGGATCCCATTGTAGAATTAGCCAGGCAAGGGCTATAATGGCCCCTGCGTTTGGCTCATTAGTATAAGAAAGGAAGCTGCTTCCTGCCAGAGGACAAGCAGATGGGCTCTCTCTTTCACCTGGCTGGTAGTGAGAAGGACAAGAGCTAGAGTTGTGTTGTGTGAGAGAACTGGGCTGGAACTTCTAGCAGAAGTCAGAAAATGAGAGGCATGCTTGATTTCTGCTTGAATCCAAGGCTGTGGCTATGGGGAAGGAAGACCTCTGAGGTGTTAAGGCTGTGTGCCCCTCCACTGTAGGCTCAGGTTGCATATATGTGGAAATAAGCCATATATCATAAAGACAGCACAGTCTCTACTGTCTCTCATTCCAAGGAAACCGGAAGCTGGGTAAGCGCCTGGAACTCCTTTTGGACCGCTCAGAGACTGGGCTGGCGTGCAATGTTCTATTATGGAGTGAGGCAGGTACACTTTGTCCTGTAGAGTTTTTGTTCTTGTGCTGGATAAATAGCCACCAGTCCACCATGAAAGTCTCATGTCTTTTTTTTGTTTTGCTATTTAGCCCCATGAAGTTTGTGCATCAGTTTTTCAACAAGTGCTGTTGTGCCCAAGCTCAAATGGACCCAGCCAAAATGGCCAATGGGATAATGGGAGTTGCGGTCCAGCTATCTCTGGAGGGTGGCAGCTTTCTCATTCTTGTAGTAGAGCCATCAGTCCTGATCAGTATCAAATAAATGCCTAGAGCTGATGAAAGTTTCTTTCCCAAAGGAAGCCTGACCTGTGCTAATTCTTATAACCCTGGAGCCTCCTTAGCTGAAGCTAAGCAAATTCATTAGCTGAGAGATATTTTTTGCTTTCTGTTTATTGCATGCCGTACCCCAAAGACTCAGGGTGGGTTACAGCAATTTTCTATAAAAGACAATTTTCAGTGTTGACAAACTCGACAACGCACACTTTCGCTGAACTTTGATGTCAAATTATCCTCTGCATTTACCTCGCTGGGTTCTCTACCTTGACACATCTCCCCAGCGATTCAGCAGTTCTTTGATGTCAGCTGTGTTGCTAACTAATTATGGGTTTTGATCTTGGAATATGCTCTAAGTTTCTAATTTCTTTTCTATTAGAGGCATGGTGCTGGCTTCCCCTGCACTTCTAAGAATGAAAAGTTCGGCAAACCTTCCTGGCAGTTAATGCAATTGAAATGATTTGGTTGTGCTTCCATATACAGTGGTGCCTCGCAAGACGAAATTAATCCGTTCCGCGAGTCTCTTCGTCTAGCGGTTTTTTCATCTTGCGAAGCAACCCTATTAGCGGCTTAGCGGATTAGCGCTATTAGCGGTTTAGCGGCTATTAAAGGCTTAGCGGCTTAGCGGCTTAGCTGCTAAAAGGCTATTAGCGGCTTAGAAAAAGGGGGGGGGAGCGAAAAAAAATCTCAAGACTCGCAAGACATTTATTTTCGTCTTGCGCAGCAAGCCCATAGGGAAATTCGTCCTGCGAAGCAACTCAAAAACGGAAAACCCTTTCGTCTAGCGGGTTTTCCGTCTTGCGAGGCATTCGTCTTGCGGGGCACCACTGTAAGTAGCTTTCTGGCTGGGCTATGAAACGTCTCATACACTGGGAAAGAAGAATGCAGGAAAGTCTTTTTGTTTTCTGAACACATCAAATTCTCAAAACTTTTTGTTCCAAAACCTCTTGAAAACGGTAGATGTTTGACCTGTGCTGGCAGCACTGATATGGATATTCCTGAGGTATAAATAAATAACTGCAACAAATGTTCTTCGGATACACCACTTGCTTTGTAACAATATAAGCTTGAATTTATCCAGCATTTATCCAAGCCCGTGCCTTTGGTTGACGTGTCCTAAATCTCTTTTCACGTTCGCACATGCAGACAATGGAATGCCGTCTCTGGTCCTGCACCAAATATAGTATTGCCAGCCTAAAATCAATTGATGAAAGACCTACAGTAACGTAGCAATGTTTGCAGTTCACGAAACTTGAATTATTTGCATGGTATTGCATTGACATTGGGAGGGAGCGGAGTTCTAGTGCCATTGCCTGCTGTGCAACAGGAATTCAACAGCTTAAGCCTTTTTAGTGTGGAAATACAATTATCGTACGCGGAAAGCTTCACCTGATTACATTCCATAAGTCAGACACCTTATGTGCGTTGCCCCTGATTTTTTTCTGGGGGGGACCTGCTACAAATCTGCATATGGCTCAAAGCATATGCAAATATTATGCAAGTTTCTGTCCTTTTTTGTGAGTGGGGTAGAGGGCCCAACGCACATACAATGTACTGAGCCCAGAAAATTCTGTTGGCGCCCCTGCTGAAAAGTCAAAGTGGGAAGAGGTGGGGTGTTCACCATGGGGGATGCTGCCAAAATGCCAAATTACTTTGGCAAATCCTCCCCCCCCACACACACACACCCTGTGTAATGTTCAACAGATCTTGCCTTTGGGAAGCAAGACATCATATTTTTATTATCCCCATCCTCCTGGTTGTCATTCTGTAACAACTATTAGGATATAATGGGAAGGGTCATGTTGGAACATCTGCTGTGCATGTATTGCACACCCCAATTAGTTACATTGTGGGAAGGAGGGCACTATTAGTGGTTCTCTATGGGCCAGAAGCTTAGCTCATGTCAACAAGGAGTCATGCATTCAGTGTTATAAGGCCCAACTCTACAAAACTCCCTCCGATAAGATGTTAGATGGGTACCATCCACTGAGTTTCACACACACGGTCAAAACTGATCTATTTCAGGAGGCCTTTGCACCCTGAAAGTTTCTCAGAAGTTTCCCTTTTTAAAACAAAAAAACAGAACTATTTTTTATGTTGAGATTTTTCATTCTTGAGGATTTAAACCTTAGAGGATTGATTTATATTTTAAATGTTCTACGTTGTATGTTTTCTTGTTATAAGCTGCTTTGAGACGTACATGGTGAAAATCAAGATATAATTCTTCAAATAAAATAAGATCTCAGGTTCAATCTCTGTCCTCTCCAGGTAGGGCTGGGAGGTCTGAAACCCTAGAGTGCACTGCTAGTCACTATGGCCAATGCTAACTTGGATGGACCAGTGTTATGGGTTGGCATAAGGCAACTTTTCCTGGATAGCTCAGTTGGTTAGAGCGTGGTGCTGATAATGCCAAGTTTGCAGGTTTGGTCCCCATATGGGACAGCTGCATATTCCTGCATTGCAAGTAGATGGACCTCAGGGTCCCTTTCAATTCTATGACTTCAGATGTGGCTGTTGCCCTTCACTGAGTAAGAACTGATAAGTCATATGTGGAGGGGGAGAATTTGCTACTGGAATGCCTCTTTGATAGCATCTTCATGGTACAGCCATCTTTTTACACCTCTCTTTTAATGCAATGCTGAGGAGCCGCAGGTCCTGGAGGCAAACGCAGCTCTCCAAACCTCTTTATTTGACCCTTGGAACTTTTCCCAGGCTACAACCTGCCCCCCCCCAGCTACAAACCTCACTGGTCGAGTGCATTTGCCAGGGTGAGATATTGTATGGCTATGTCAAAAGGCAATCTGGACTGAATTAAGTAAGACAGAGTTGTTCCGCCTGGCCTTTGGCTTGGAATCAATTTGATTCCCTCCCCCTCTTTCTTTTCTTTTCTCCTCCTGTGATGGAACTCCTACTTGGGGACTTCCCTGGCTTTTTTCTGGCCCATGTAGGACCAGTCTAGATAGTTAGCCTTGGTGAAGACCCGATGTTTTCATCCCCCCCCCCAAAGTTTTTGATTTGAGTTTCCATTGAAATGAGGCTGCATTTTAATGTTTTAATGTTTATTGTTGTATTTCAATCTTGTTTTTAAGTTGTATTTCAATCAATTTGGCTTGGAGCCAATTTGATTCCCTCCCCCTCTTTCTTTTTCCTTTCTCCTCCTGTGATGAGGCTGCTTTTTAATATTTTAATGTTTCAATATTTTAATGTTGTATTTTAAACTTGTTTTTATTGTTGCTTGTTGGCCGCCCTGAGCCCGGCCTTGGCTGGGGAGGGCGGGGTATAAATTATTATTATTATTATTATTATTATTATTATTATTATTAATAATTCTGGACATCCTAGAAATAAGGACAGTAATGCCATTGCTAGACTTGGCATAGTTCTACAGCCATGAGGTGGCCATGAAGACAAAGTCTTGTTCTTGGTATTTTGGCAGCAGAGCTCTTTAGCTGTACAAAATGTTTAACCCTCTGATCCTAAATAAATGCCCCCAATAGTAAGTTACATTGAAATCAATGGACACCACATCCAAGGAAATGAGATGAAGGTAGGCTGAGCTGCTGTCTTTGGTGCTAATGTCTAACAACCTCTGAGAACAGCCGTCCAAATATTTTCCAAGCTATCACTTATTTTATAATGGCTTGAGTGCAGTCCTTTACATCTGAGAACCTAGGTTGTAAAGCCTTGAGTTCAGCTGCAAGGCAAAAGTGTAATGAAATGTGTGGGCTGGCTTCAAAAAACGCATCCTGAGCCATTAAGATGTGGATAGACAGGGTAGCAATTTTATATGCTTAGAGAAGTTAAGCATATGAATTCTGCTAATCAAATAGTTCTGCCAAATTCTCTTAGACATTGCTCACACTTGGTCAGTGCTGCTTTGGAGATCCATTTGTTACCAGCACTTGCCAAGTTTTATGCTCACCCATAAAAAAAGGGAGCTTGCATTATCTGTACAGATCATGAAAACTGCATTTGACTTTGAGAAGTTAATAGAGAGAGAAAAGAATGTTTATATGATCACTCCCCTGCTAAAAGAATAAAGACATATTCTGAAATGGCAAAGTGATATTGTTACATTATTATTATTATTTTAGAATTACTGCTTGTTACTTGCGTTTGGGCTGGGTGCTGCTTTCTTCTGATATAAATGGCAGGCAGGGCAAAGGGGAGACTTCAAACTATACCGGTTCCTCTGCCACGTAGGTGATAGTTGTGGCATGATAAGTGTTTTTTTGAAGAAAAGAACATGAAGCCTAATAATATGTAAAGGGGTAGGTAACAGACAAAGAGGATGATTACAACAATTTGCAAATCAATGATTCATATGCAGCAGGAGGGTGAAATTCATAATGAGCAATAAAAGCAATGTAATGCGTATGCGTGTTGCAGGAAGTGTAGATAAAAATTGGCTGGGACTTTTGGAAGTATTTCCTACTACAAACATTTGGGGAGTCTTTCCCCGGGAAGGTACACGTGGCTAATCAGTCGCACCATATTGGCATTTTAAAATAGTAGAATCAATATTTAAAGAGAACACATATCTACTACACTGCAGTTCCGTGTAGGCAGTGATGTATCTCAGCTTGAGGAAAAGACATATAGCTATTTATTATTTACTAAGGTTGTAGTTGATAAATCAGTGGGAAGCCGGTTTTAATTGGCAAGGGCGAATTTTAATTGGTGGCAGAGCTTGAGGGTGAACTTGTTTATTTTCTGCAGCACTTTTGACTCAGATGCATATTCCTGCAACAGGGGGATGAAAAAGAAAATATGAAGGCTCAGCTAGAGAACCATTAAGTATGATGGGTGTTAAATCTGCAGGTTGTTAAAAATGAATAGATTACTGAGAGATATATGGGGCAAGGCATACCAGCATAACTGAAACTCTGCCCCACATTTCTCTTTTTTGTTACGAGACTATGTGAGCAATAGGAAGTGCATTCAGCAGCACTGTATTAAGGGATAATGTGGCTGGGTTGGGGGGTGGATCTCTGGATCGGTAGTCAGTGACCCACACCTGCAGGATGCCAATGGCAACATGGACCTCCCCAAACCTTACCTCTGCTTCACCCATGTCTTTTCTGGAATACGTAATACTACTGGGTGTTCTTCATTAAAATGCCAAAGGTTTGGACATTACATGTATTTTCAAGTTAAAGAAATGTTTGTAGATCACCAAGATTAGCATTTGTTCTTTAACTCGATCGTATGCAACATCAAAACCCTCTTGCAAAAACAGTTGTGGTCTATGGGTGAGGGGAGGGGAGCTGTATCCAATGCTATTCCTTCTTGGAATAGACCCACTGTAGTTTATACCAACAAAGGTCCATATAGCCAACAAAGGTCCGTATAGTTAAAGCTATGGTTTTCCCAGTAGTGATGTATGGAAATGAGAGCTGGACCATAAAGAAGGCTGATCGCCGAAGAATTGATGCTTTTGAATTATGGTGCTGGAGGAGACTCTTGAGAGTCCCATGGACTGCAAGAAGATCAAACCTCTCCATTCTTAAGGAAATCAGCCCTGAGTGCTCACTGGAAGGATAAATTGTGAAGCTGAGGCTCCAATACTTTGGCCACCTCATGAGAAGAGAAGACTCCCTGGAAAAGACCCTGATGTTGGGAAAGATGGAGGGCACAAGGAGAAGGGGACGACAGAGGACGAGATGGTTGGACAGTGTTCTCGAAGCTACCAGCATGAGTTTGACCAAACTGCGGGAGGCAGTGGAAGACAGGAGTGCCTGGCGTGCTCTGGTCCATGGGGTCTCGAAGAGTCGGACACGATAAACGACTAAACAACAACAACAACAAGTTTATAGAAATGCCTAACTTAGGCTTATTAATTTCAACTGGTTTGTTCTGATATAAGCCTAGGTTTTCACTTGAATACGCTTTGATACAGGTAGGATTTGTGTTACTTGTGGAAAACTGAAAATGTCATTTTTTAACATGACATGTTATGTGTGAAACATGCAATTAATGTTTATGGGTGCATTAGAGTTTATTTTATTTTAATTATTTAGCTATGTATTTTAAATTCATCGTTTTGCAATATTTTAAGCTATAAATGGTTTTGGGGTTTTTTCATTGAGTTGATGTGGGATACTTCCTCTTGCCTGTGTGGACAGGCTGAATAATAAATCTAAAACCTGAAAAGAAAGCGGCTAGGATCTGCTAATATCAAAGAAATTTGAAAACACTCATGATCTGAGGTTGGCGAGTTTATCTCCTACGTAATATATTTAAGATAAGTGTAGACATCATTTGCCCAGCCTCTTGCCGCTGAATATATTCTCATTATCTACCTCAATATTTCTTCAATGGCTTTGACTTCTTGACCCCATTGGAGCAGTTTCCCGCCCCCTCCCCCATATTAATTATATGGTGTCCTTGTGATTTTGTTCTAATTTTATTGCTGTTCGGTGTCATTGAAGGTTCCTTGCCTTTTATTTCTGGGAAGGGATAAAAAGATGCTCCAGTTTAGCTCAGCAAGCTTTCTCATACAAACCTCTTTAAACAGATCAATTATTTCAACCTCCCTCTGTATCATTTCAACTAGCTGCCCCAATCCAGAGTCTCATATTTGCTCCACGAGAGTACACAGATTCCCCACTAAACCAAGTTTTCCAGTTCACTTCACTGGATAAAGTGGCTCTACAAATATAGTCCTTTAAGTTCACACACTGAATTAAGCAGTGGTCCGTCCTTCTCTCTCAGCAGTTCTAGAAGCATCAGTTGGTTTGTGCACACAGTGCTCTAGACAGGGGGGCCTATCTGCGAGCTCCACACATTGGTTAGTAGTCCTGTTCGTGCAAGGATGTCTCAGCAGAAAGAAGGGCACAGTGTGCCCATATAATTTCCTGTGGCTACAAGAGATCACTAGATGGCAAAGAGGGTTACCTTACCAACTGGTTGGTTGAAAGAAAGAAAGAAAGAAAGAAAGAAAGAAAGAAAGGTGCTTATTTCTGTTAATTTAATTAACCACTAGGTAAAAAGGTAAAGGACCCCTGGACGGTTAAGTCCAGTCAAAGGTGACCATGGGGTTGCAGCGCTCATCTCGCTTTCAGGCCAAGGGAGCTGGCGTTTGTCCAAAGGCAGCTTTCCGGGTCATGTGGCCAGCAGGACTAAACCGCTTCTGGAGCAACGGAACACCGTGATGGAAACCAGAGTGCATGGAAATGCTGTTTACCTTCCTGCCACAGCAGTACCTATTTATCTACTTACACTGGTGTGCTTTCGAACTGCTAAGTTGACAGGAGCTGGGATAGAGCAACGGGAGCTCACCCTGTCCCAGGGATTTGAACCACCAACCTTCTGATCGGCAAGCCCAAGAGGCTCAGTGGTTTAGACCACAGCAGGATTGGGAGGGCAGCATGCAGAGAAATTCACTCTTTCACAGTCCCCATGAAAATTGCATACTGAAGCTGATATCAGCCCTAGAAAC